TCTGTTGATTTGGGATGGAGAGTTCTGTAGATGTCTGTTAGGTCCGCATGGTCCAGAGCTGAGTTCAAGTCCTGAATATCCTTGTTAATTTTCTGTCTCGTTGATCTGTCTAATATTGACAGTGGGGTGTTAAAGTCTCCCACTATTATTGTGTGGGAATGGAGTCTCTTTGCAGGTCTCTAAGAACTTTCTTTATGAATCTAGGCGCTCCTGTATTGGGTGCATATATTTACGATCGTTAGCTCTTCTTGTTGCATTGATCCCTATACCATTATGTATAAGGGTATACCTATACCCTTCTTTCTTTATCTCCTTTGATCTTTGTTAGCTTAAAGTCTGTTTTATCAGAGACTAGGATTGCAACTCCTGGTGTTTGTTTGTTTGTTTGTTTCCATTTGCTTGGTAAATATTCCTCCATCCCTTTATTTTGAGTCTATGTGTGTCTTTGCATGTGAGATGGGCCTTTTGAATACAGCACACCAATGGGTCTTGACTATCCAATTTGCCAGTCTATGCCTTTTAATTGGGGCATTTAGCCCATTTACACTTAAGGTTAATATTGTTGTGTGTGAAGTTGATCCTGTCATTTGAGGCTAGCTGGTTATTTTGCCCATTAGTTGATGCAGTTTCTTCGTAGTGTCAATGGTCTTTACAATTTGGTATGTTTTTGCAGTGCCTGGTACCGGTTTTTCCTTTTAATATTTAGTGCTTCCTTCAGGAGCTCTTGTAAGGCAGGCCTGGTGGTGGCAAAATCCCTCAGCATTTGCTTGTCTATAAAGGATTTTATTTCTCCTTCACTTATAAAGCTTAGTTTGGCTATGAAATTCTGATTTTCTTTAAGAATATTGAATATTGGCCCCTACTCTCTTCTGACTTGTAGGGCTTCTGCAGAGGTCCACTGTTAGTCTGATGCTTCCCTTTGTGGGAAACCTGACCTTTCTCTCTGGCTGCATTTTTTCCTTCATTTCAAACTTGGTAAATCTAACGATTATGTGTCTTGGGGTTGCTCTTCTCGAAGAGTATCTTTGTGGTGTTCTCTGTATTTCCTGAATTTGAATGTTGGACTGCCTTGCTAGGTTGGGGAAGTTCTCCTGCATAATATCCTGAAGAGTGTTTTCCAACTTTATTCCATTCTCCCTATCACTTTCAGGTACAGCAATCAAACGTAGGCTTGATCTTTTCACATAGTCCCATATTTCTTGGAGGCTTCATTCATTCCTTTTCCTTTTTTTTTTTTTTTTTTTTTGAAACAGAGTCTTGCTCTGTCACCCAGGCTGGAGTGCAGTGGTACAACCTCGGCTCACTGCAAGCTCCACCTCCCAGGCCAGGTTCACACGATTCTCCTGCCTCAGCCTCCCTAGTAGCTAGGACCACAGGCACCCACCACCATGCCCAGATAATTTTTTGTATTTTTAGTGAGACGAGGTTTCATCGTGTTAGCCAGAATGGTCGCCATCCCCTGACTTCATGATCCGCCTGCCTCAGCCTCCCAAAGTGCTGGGATTACAGGCATGAGCCACCACGTCCAGCTGGGGAAGTTCTCCTGAAAAATATCCTGAAGAGTATTTTCCAACTTGGTTCCATTCTCCCCATCACTTTCAGGTACATCAATCAAACGTAGGCTTGGTCTTTTCACATAGTCCCATATTTCTTGGAGGCTTTGTTCATTCCTTTTCTTTTCCTTTCATTCTTTTTTCTCTAATCTTGTCTTCATGCTTTATTTCATTAAGTTGTTCTTCAATCTCTGATATCCTTTCTTCTGCTTGATCGATTCAATTATTGATACCTGTGTATGCTTCCCAAAGTTCTCATGCTGTGTTTTCAAGCTCCATCAGGTCATTTATGTTCTTCTCTAAACTTGTTATTTTAGTTAGCAGTTCCTGCAACCTTTTATCAAGGTTACTAACTTCCTTGCATTGGGTTAGAACAAGCTCCTTTAGCTTGGAAGAGTTCGTCATTACCCACCTTCTGAAGCCTATTTCTGTCAATCCTCAAACTGATTCTCCATCCAGTTTTGTTCCCTTGCTGGCACGGAGCTGTGATCCTTTGGAGGAGAAGAGGCTTTCTGGTTTTTGGAATTTTCAGCCTTTTTGTGCTGGTTTTTCCTCATCTTGATGGATTTATCTACCTTTGGTCTTTGATGTTGGTGACCTTCGGATGGGGTTTTTATGTGGGCGTCCTTTTTGTTGATGTTGATGCTATTCCTTTCTGTTTGTTAGTTTTCCTTCTAACAGTCAGGCCCCTCTTCTGCAGGTCTGCTGGAGTTTGCTGGAGGTCCACTCCAGACCCTGTTTGCCTGGGTATCACCACCGGAGGTTGCAGAACAGCAAAGATTGCTGCCTGCTCCTTCCTCTAGAACCTTCATTCCATAGGGGCACCTGGGCACCTGCCAGATGCCAGCTGAAGCTCTCCTGTATGAGGTGTCTGTCAACACCTGCTGGGATCTCTCTCCCAGTCAGGAGGCACGGGAGTCAGGAACCAACTTGAGGAGGCAGTCTGTCCCTTAGCAGAGTTCTAGTGCTGTGCTGGGAGATCCTCTGCTCTCTTCAGAGCTAGCAAGCAGGAATGTTTAAGTCTGCTGAAGCTGTGCCCACAGCCGCTCCTTCCCCCAGGTGCTCTGTCCCAGGGAGAGGAGAGTTTTATCTATAAGCCCCTAATGGGGGCTGTTGCCTTTCTTTCAGAGATGCCCTGCCCACAGAGGAGGAATCTAGAGAAGCAGCCTGGCACTGTGGTGGGTTCTGCACCCAATTCAAAATTCCCAGCAGCTTTGTTTACACTGTGAGGGGAAAACTGCCTACTCAAGCCCCAGTAATGGTAGACGCCCCTACCCCCACCAAGCTCGAGTGACCCAGGTCAACTTCAGGCTACAGTGTTGGCAGCAAGAATTTCAAGCCAGTGGATCTTAGCTTGTTGGGCTCCATGGGGTGGGATCCACTAAGCAAGACCACTTGGCTCCCTGACTTTAGCCCCATTTCCAGGGGAGTGAATGGTTCTGTCTTACTGGTGTTCCAGGCACCACTGGGGTATGAAACAAAACCTCCTGCAGCTAGCTCAGAGTCTGCCCAAATGGCTGCCCCATTTTGTGCTTGAAACTCAGGGCCCTGGTGGCGTAGGCACCTGAGAAAATCTCCTGGTCAGTGGGTTGCGAAGATTGTGGGAAAAGCGTAGTATCTGGGTCAGATAGCACCATCCCTCATGGCACAGTCTCTCATGGCTTCCCTTGGCTAGGGGAGGGAGTTCCCCAACCCTTGCACTTCCCTGGTGAGGCGACACCTCACCCTGTGTCAGCTCTCCCTCCATGGGCTGCACCCACTGTCTACCCAGTCCCAGTGAGAGGAACTGGGTACCTCAGTTGGAAATGCAGAAATCAGCCGCCTTCTGCCTTGGTCTCACTGGGAGCTGCAGACTGGAGCTATTCCTATTTGGCCATCTTGCCAGCCCCCCATGTGTCATTCATTTATTATAAAGACACCCAAAACATCCTTACCAGTACTTTTTCTCCTTCCCTTCCTCTCTTTTTCTACTTCCCAACTTTCCCCCAATCTCTCTCTCTCTGTCCCCCTTTTGCTCTCTAGTGCTAACAACCTGAGTTTGATTAACTCAGTAATTAAAGCTGATAATTATATGATTTCACCAGGACAACGTTTGTAAAATATACAAGTAGATTACAAATGTAGCCTCTTTGTTTGGATGTGTCCGTATATCTATTCATAAAGTAACCATGAATGAAATCACAAGAAATGAACAATCTATTTGGGGAGGGAATTTAGTAGCTTGGGGTGAGGAACAGAAATAGGAAATAAACTGTTTTATTATATACCCTTTTATAACTTATGATGCTTCTTAAAACCACTGTTCTCTGTGGTAAGCAGATCTATGCAAACCTACCCCCAAAAGTTCAGGAAGCTGAGAGGCTGAAGAAAGAGGCCAACAAATCCATTTTCTTAGAAAGGAACTTTTAAAAGGGACTTACAAACAGAAGCCTTGTCTGTGTCTCAGGTGACAGCAAGACACGATGGTGGTTCCCTGCACCATTATCACCCCAGACTCAGAGTTTATACGCCATTGGAAAAAGGTGATTCAGAGGGATGTGTAGGAAGATTGAAGTATGATAACATCAAAGTTGTTTTGACCTAAGGGCAGGATTTACCGTAAGTGTGCTCTTACACAAGGAACAATAGATAAACTGGAAATCTTACAGACCTTCCTGGGACTGGGGTTAATCAGAAGTCAACATGGCAGATTAGCATCCAGTGGAGTTACTTTAGCCTCCTATACAAAAAAAAAAGAAAGAAAGAAAGAAAGAAAAATAGAGAGAGAGAGAGAGAGAGAAAGAAAGAAAGAAAGAAAGAAAGAAAGAAAGAAAGAAAGAAAGAAAGAAAGAAAGAAAGAAAGAAAGAAAGAAAGAAAGAAAGAAAAGTCCAAAACTAAATCTACATATATATATCTAAATATACAAAGTTATTAGTTTAATAGTGCAAGTGCCCAGAGCAACAAAACCACTAAAAGTAACAGCTTCTGCAATGGAAAAAAAATTTTTCTTTTCTCTGAAAATAGCTTTAATTGCCATTTTATAGAAGAGTGCCATGACATGTTTAGGGTACCATGTTTGAATCAGTGGCCCGGCAAAGGCACACCAGTGCCTTTCCTATTGTGGTGCTATGTCAAACTGTATGTTAGTGTGCCTGGCCTGAAAACACACACACACACACACATACACACACACACACACACACAAGAGTGGCAGATAAATCATCTGAGACTGTTCCTTAATTGCATTGGAGGCAGCTGCAATGAGGTAAGAAAAGTGACAAAGTTGAATTTTAACCTTGGTCTTTTTTGAAACGTAAGTTAGAGCCATTCCTGGTTATGTAAGTCATATTCATGCCCTTTTGGCAACATCCGTGTGGCAGAGATGCATGTCCAAGTTTGAGAGTTAGTTATGCAAGGATCAGATATTCTTGATTTTACCTCACAGTTTTCTTGCTCTTCATTTGCAGGTAGTGAAATCAAAGTTATCCAAAGAATATAACTTTATTAAAATGAAAAGATCAAGAAATCATATCCTGGGAAGATATTTCAGCAATCAAAGCAAACTACAACAGAGCACTGTAACAAATTTTCGATCTCCATATCATGTCAGAGGTCCAATAAATCAGGTTTGTTCTGAAATCCTTCTCAGCAGGATGTGTGTAAATAAAAGGACTATGTAGGCGCCCTGCAGGAGAGCTGAATCTGGAGCTGGAGACAAGCTACTCACCCGGACAATGTTCTAGGAGCCAAGAGCTGCGCATCACACACATTTGAGATTGACCACACACACTTGTGCACACCAGCACATGCATGCACACCAGTACACACACAGTTAAATCATGATAACACTTCTTCTTACAGCTTTATGAATTCAAGATGTGACCTTGAACACGAGTCCATTTCACAGTGAAAGATACACCTAGAAAAACGTTACTTGAAGCATAGTTATTAACCAGAACCACTGTGGGCCAGGTATGGCATTGTGATAATAAAGAGAAATACAGACACTTGAATTATGTGAAAAAAGATAATGGTCTTTCGTCTTGTCTTACCATCTCTATAGGTACATCAATATTGAAAAGGAGAAAAGCCAATTACATTCCACTGGCAAGTAGAGGTTGTGCTTGCATTCTTCACCAGGAGAAAATGTGGTGTTTATGATGGCTTAGACTTTGTGAATCTAATGCTTATGAAAAACAGTTCTTCCTATACTTTTTAAATTGTATTACTGAAAGGAAAAAACAGGAATGTTCCACAAGGGAATTTGAAGAGATTCTATGAGAGAGATATAAAGTGAAATATTTTATCGTTAAAACACCAATATATTTAACTTTGCACTTCTTGTGTTTCTCATAAACATTCCCTCTTGTCCTATCTGTGCACTTGGATGGGTAACTGCAGTCTGAATTAATGAAATACATAATTTTAAAGTAAGCAACAAAATTTAGTGCCTCCTGTATTACTTCACTATGTTTCATTGATGATATTATTTAAATCTTGTGTTTGCCATTACAGCCCTATGTAACTGAAAATTACAATTACATTTTATGTAAATATTTTGCAAAGGATTATGCATTCTCAAATGCATAGGTATTTTTTCCCATTGAGCATTTGCATATGTCCACAAATAGTATTATGTTACTAGTATCTATATTTTGATTTTCCTGGGCAACTATGTCAAATCCAAATTTAGAGTAGACATAAAATTATTATTTTTATTAAAACTGTGGCATACATATAATACATACCTAATTCTAGTAGTGAGAACTATCTCTTCTATCTCTTTAGGTTCAAAATGGTGAATTTCTTTATTATACAAATGCTTTGTTGTGAGATAACATCACACAGTTACAATGGATTTTAAAGGTTTGTCTTTTTTGGGTGGGGTGGGAAGCTGAGAGGGTTAATTCAATACATGGCTGAAATTACCAAATATATAAATACCTCAATTTCACTACCATACAAGAAAAAAACACCTATTCTGATTGATCAGTTCTTTTGTATGAATATCCACTTCCTTTAAATACTCTATTTTTATATATATTTTTATATGAAGATAAACACGAATTTATATTTAACTGTCTTAAATTATATTTACATAAATGCAAATATCGTTTGATATAAACAATACAAATCTGCATCTGGCAGATGATAATTTTTTTAGAAGAATGATACGGTATTAACTTTAAAAATAAGACTTTTCTAATATACGCTTAAATGCAAACATCATTTTTAGATTTTCAGTGATTTTTTTTAATGACATAAAACGTTGCCTGCGTGTGTAGACTCTCTCTCCATCATGTTTTAACATATTGTGTACTCTGTAGCAGTTTTACAGTCAGTATTTCTTATAATTTTATTTTGACCTATCCGTAATCATCTGACTGAGGTTACTCTGGTATTTGCCTCTTCACTGCTGAAATAATAATGGATTTTAGAAACAATTGTAATAATATTGCTAATAAATGTCTTACGAGTAATAGTCTGTGTTTGTAGAGTATCTTTTATTTTCTTTTTTACTGAAGATGTACAACTATGCAAACAGTGACCACTTGGCAGGGATATTTTCATGTGGATTCAAGTATTATAGCGTGGTTAAACAGGATTAACTAGATAGTCCCTTCTAAGCCTAATATTCTCTAAGTTTATGATCAGATGAACTTCCCACTGTGCAATGACCAAAATGTATGAAGATAATGTATTGTAGTGACAAGCTTTTTAAAAATAATAATAATAATAGCAATAATAAGACACTTAAATGCCAAGAATCATTTTAATTGCTCCTTAACTGAAACTGCATTTTATTTCACCTAGGTGTATGTGTATGTGTGTGCACATGTGTTTGTACGTATTTAGCAAGTTCCTAATTTCAAGGGGAAAAAAGTGGGAGTAGGCATTTTAACGTATTTTTAGGTGTAAAAGTTACAGGAAATGTATTATTTTGGTAAGAATTTATTAGAATCCAATCCAAACTAAACTAAAGAAAACATTTATAACATTAAAAGTCAAGAATAACTGCATAAACATTTCCAAGCGTCACTGTTGATCTTGTGTGTGGGTGGGCACGGGTATGTGTGTGTGTGTGTGTATGTGTGTGTTTAAAAGCACAGTGTACTATTTGCCAGCCACCCAAGTAGGCAGATAAGATCCTGCACAGGCATGAAAAAGAAGGGCTCACATTTGCCTGCTGGTTGGGTGGGTTTACATTTGGGTCATTCAATCTTCCTTGTGTTATTTGCCCATGTGCCTAGAAGTCTTCTCTACAGAGCAGTGATTCCTACTTAAGAATGTGTTGGAAGAAATTACTGATTTTTGAGAAATATTTCCCATGATGCTTATGGAGAAAAAACTAATACTATTCTCCATTTGAAATGTCTTCTTTTAGTTTCCTTTCACGGAAGAATTCCAAGAAGAAATATAGAAATGGCTCAAAATTATGTAACCCAGTAAGAGTTATTTCAAAGTTATAATGCTTTGGCAGAGTAGGGAGGGGTGTCTAATATAGTGGTGAGATTAAGAGTCTAGATAGTTAATCATGGTTAGGATCTTATTAAGTATTTTCCTAAGGGCTCCTCCATGTGAGTAAATGCTGAAACAATTGTCTTTATCTAAAATTTATCTGAATTTTTATCTTATAAAAAAATCCCCCCAATTCACCAAAACCAGTGGCTATTAATGTATTTAAAATGAACAAAAATGACTGAGTGAGCTAGTATAAACTGATAACTTCAAAAATACGTGTTCAAGCACAAAATGATAGCATAGCAGATTCCACCATTTTGAGTGGATCAAGGAATAATTACTCTCCAAATGCTACTGTAGTTTTGTTTTTTGTTTTTTTTTTAAACGTGTACTTAAAGTTGCCATGATTTTTATTGCTCTTGGAAACTAAGGCATTTTAATAGATCACTTCAGCCTAAGGGGATGAACCAGAAGTTGTCGGGAACCCCCAAAGACCTACTAAAAACAACAGGATACTGCCAGCACCTACAAACAAGATTTTGTATTTGGCACAACTTCCAAGGTTTCATACTGTCAAAAAGCCTTTTATCATGTTTTTATTGCTGCAGTAACTGCTATTATCAACTTCCATATTTCTTTCATGATTCATTCACTTGATGTAGGGGGATATAGAACTCATTTTTTTCTAATTCATATAGACCATGCAGTCCTCCTAAAATGGTATTCCATTTGTTTTCTTTATGCTTGCTGAAATGTAAAGAATTTGTTTTATGGCCCTATTAAATGTCAGATCACTATGCTTTAACACACTAGATACATAATCAAATATTACTGTGAAAATTTATCAAGACTATTTAAATTGTGTAAGTCTATTTGAAAGGCAAATAAAAAAAATTACTTTTAGAGAATTTAGAAAACTGTCACTTTTAGAGAAAACACCATAAAAGGATTCCTACAGTGTAGTAATATTTAGGTAGCTTAGGTTTTGGATTTGATTTCTGTTGAGTGGTATTTTCTCCCAAGTCTGTAGCACTCTCCGCAGAAGACTTTTTAAAATTTAGTTTTTCAAAGACTTTTTTTCTAGCCCTTTTGGTAATATATCTGGGAAAAATATTCTATTGTAGATTAGGTTATGAGTAGACATTTAATATCTCTAACCAAGATGTCTTGTTAAGGTGATTTATGTGTAGCATCACATGATTCATTTTATCATATGAAATAAAAAATTATACTTTTTATAATATAAAAGAGTAATTTCTATGAAATCCATTACCATGTTTAGATATGTTTTAAAAGCAAAATATTTACAACTGATTATTGGTACATAAGAATTCAGAAGTAACATGGTTTCATAAATACAAAATGTGTTCAATTGATTCTCAACTATATAGTGACTTATTTTATTGTTGAGCTGGTGAAATGCAGCTATTTGATGCGGCTCTTAGCGCTAAGCTACACAGCTGAATGATGGTATGTGATTGATTTATATATTTTGTTCAATTGTGTTTCCACTTTCTTTTTTATAATAAAGCCTGTTCAAAATATGCAGATTGAAAGCTCAGCGTATGTCATCAAGATAAACATTTTAATTTTCTTTCCAGTCTCAAATTTTTGTTTGGTCTATAATTGGTATGGTTTTAAAATTAAATCATAAATTTGAATATTAGAAAAAAATTTAAGGACACTAAAATTAAACAAATATATGTTGTAACTTGTAATATAACCATGTATCCACTAATCTCCATTTAGGTATAAGAAGTTGTTTGGTTTACAGTAGATCTTTTTACCTTAATAGCTGGATATCTGGGATTCAGAATTCTTGTGTTGCTTTTCAATAAATACATGGAAATAAGAGTGCAAAATGCCAACACTGAATGCAGTGCAGCCTACGATAGTCCATGAGGTACATCACAGTCTGTGCAGGATTGAAAGGAAGCTACAGCATAGGCCTTCACACCAGGAGAAACTCTCCTCCACTGGGTTTGGGGATGGATACATATGAGCACCTTCTAGCTACCTCTGACAGCTCTTGGACATCTCTTCAACCTCTTCTTAGTGTAAATCACATTGGAGGGTCCAATTTCGAAAGAAAAAGCAAATAATAATTTTAAGTCTTTAGTGGACCAAAATTTACAACCTAGACTAATCAAATAGCAAGTGGATATGACTCTAATGATATTTTCTGATTTAAAATCAGGAAAAATAGAAAATGTGCTCTAATCATCAATATAGTATATCCTCGAGAACTTAAAATAGAAACCCATTTTTTCCAAATTGATTTTTTCACCGAAGGGCTCACTCATCTACTGTGATCATTCCTGCTTGTCCTTACCTTTGCCTTTTAAATGGAACTTACGCAGTATTTTTGTGTGCATTTAATATGTAATACAAGATACATTTTAAAGCTTACATTTTTATGTTCTCCTTCTTGCCTTAATTACATGTAACACGAAGCTTATGTTTTAATGGGCATAGGCTCTCCAGTTTTGCAGTATCATAAAAAGAGTTTATGAGCCTTTTGTTAAAAATCAGTGCCTATGTCATTGGCAGGGCATGGAATTATTTGCAACTACTTCTTCTACTTATAAGATACAATTTGGTCTGAATTAAAAATACTATGAAGGAAAACTGAAACAATGCCTTTGTAGCCCGAAATGAGTTTAGTCATCAAATGGCACAAATTTGGGTCCATCAGTTTCCACCACATGTGCATACCCCTTGGGGCAAACCTGATCTCTGTTCACACTTGCCTCTATAGAATACCCATTTCAATGTTCAGATTAGTTATGCAAAACCAATGGCATGTTTTTAAAAGGGTGTGGATACACCCTTAGCTCAAGTTACTCCTGCCAAGAACAGGAATTATTTCAACAGGATGGAGTTTCCAGAGCCATGTTATTGGTAAATAGCCGGAACTCTCCCTTGGCCACCTATCCTATAAATAAATTCATACCTTCCATGAATTATTTATGGATTCTGAGATGAGGCTGATACAGACATTGCATCTCAGGTTCTTATTTCCCAGAAGAATGTACAATCACAAAGTGGGTGATTGGCTTATGTGGTGTTTTTCTCTTTCCTGGGATCATTATAAGTCTTTGAAGTACTGAGCTTCTTGAAGTCGATTTCTCTTCCAATGGAAGCATCCCTGGGCAGTCTTTAGCAAACTGTTATCAAATACAGTGAAAATAAATGCCTTCCCTTCACCACTGATCATGGACTTGTTATGCTGCCTCTGCAGACAAGAAAGTCAAAACTGGTGGGTCAACGCCAAACCTTGCCTGGTTTGTGCCTGGGCAGAGTGTGTGTCAAATAAAAGACTTGAAAACAGGAATTCTGGATTATTTTCAAATACAAACTCATCCATACTGTATAAATACATGGGTGTGTGTATATGTATAGATAAAATGTATGCACACACACACATACACACACAATGAAATAGATAATGGAGCAGTATCAAATAATCTTATATCCATCCAATTAGTTCCTTTAAAACATTCCTCTTATTTTTTATTTATAGCAGCATTTAAAACCTTTAGTATAACAGGTTCTATATCTCTAGATGCCTTCACCAGGTGCTCGTCTGAACATGTGGGGAATGCGCTTCAAGGCCTCCGCCAAGCAGTGACGGAGCAGGGAGGGATGTGTCAAGGGAGATGTCTGCCAGATGCTTTTCTCAAGAGATGACAAGTGACTGAACTGCCAGAAATCGCCAAAATAAGAAGATACTAGGAAATGTGGGACCATGGAGTCACGAGGGTTCCAAAACTAGAGAGAACTATAAACTATAGTTTAAACTTTAAAACTACAGAGAACTCAAGGAAAGAAAGAGAGCAGGGCAACTCTGTGCCCCGACGCAAGTAAATGGATCAGTAACGTTCACTCATGGGAATCACTCTTAGTAGGGACTCCAGCCACACACCCTGCCTCTGCCCTCTGATCTCACAGGGCCTTCTCACTGGCAAATGCTGAGATGGGTGGCTAAGAGGTAAGTCACACCCCTCAGTATGACTCAGTATGATCCTCAGTATGGCTGAGGGGTAAGTCATAACTCTTAGTTATGCGGCAGCATAACTAAGTCCTGTAAACGGTGGCAGAGGTTCCGCTGGGTGGAGGACACCCAGCACGATCACAGTTCTGCAGCTCATAACTTCCTCCCTCCAAATCAGATTTCTAGTTGGCCTCCACCCCTTTTCATTTCCCCTTTTTGACTTAGATGGTTTCTGTGTCCACCTCCATTATAGCATTTTCACAATATAATGACCTACAATCATCTATTTGATTACCCTGAGCCGTTCATCTTTCTACTATCCAATCTCTAATGTAAAGTAAGGTCTCAGCAAACACTGTTCTCTCTCATTCTTTTCTCTGTTCACTACTTCTTAGCTCAGATGCTATCTCCTCTAGGAATCTTTCTCTGATTCCTCACATACTGATCAAAGTATTCTTTCTTTGCATTCCTTTGGCGTTCCCTGTTTACCCCTAACCCAGACGTTTTATCTTTGTCTAAGTTTGTCCTCCCTAGAATGTAAACTCCATGTAGAAGGGACTGAGTATTTTG